TTAAAAGTGCACCGAAAAGCAGCAGTGGATAAGTGCACGGTGGGAGTCCACTCTTGTATTCCAGAAGGAGCGACAGGCAGTAATCGACCCTCGCCATCGGTAACTCGTTCAGCTGTAACACTTTCGGTGCCTAGCTGCCATGCCACCCGAAGGCGGCACGAAAGCTTGGATACTGCCAGGTTGCCCAAGCTTAGACAGGGGAAGTCAAGAGTCAGAGGTCGGATTCGAACCACAGACCTTCCAGTCAGTAACTCCGCGCTCCAACCACCGAGCTATCTCGCTATCTGTAAGTGATGGCGACGTGATCGCTCTTCTACGCTGCCCTATCCAAGTTTTCATGCACTCTCCGCACGTCCCAAAACTAAGACTGACCGCTTTGTGCATGGTGTATCACACTCAGCTGCAGCTGCTGCACGTTGGATAACCGCAAACGCTTGAAGTATGTTTCCAAACTCCGAAATTCGGAGCACTTTGCTGCCGTTAATGTTTGCACACTGAAGTAAGCAGGAAAACAGGTGGTACTCAAGACCACAACTTTGCCTGCGGTACAATCCAGCTAACCCCATCCACAAATTTGATCGCCGATAGGACTGTGGGCCTGCTGAAGGTCCATGAAAGATTCCTCCTGGCCGCAACCACAACTCAACTTGGCGCATCCCCCGACGCCAGGTAAAGCTGAATCTCCGTGCAGACCGTGAAGCTTGGTAGACGTGAATGGCCGGAGAAGTAGAAGGGACCAAAATACTTGAAACGTTCGCATGCCACTTTACTTGGTCCGTTCAGTGGTCAGCGAAACTATCAGGGACCAGAATAGCACTCTGATACCCAGCAAAGAAGTGTCCGAGTTCTTATTTCTCCTACAGTGTCGTCGTACTGCTGGTCCTATCGTCCTTTCATCTGCTCTATTCAATGACGACAGTATATTCCCCAGTCAGTGTCTGTCTAGCCTTTTTATGCCTACCCGTCAACATCAAGCGGGACTTCGACCAGGCAAAGGCAGCGTCAACCTCATCTTCACATGTCGTTAGGTGTTAGAGCAACACCATATGTACGGACGACCCATAATCTTTGTATTACGTGACTTCAAGTTTGCGTTCGGTTCTATCGGTTGGTCAGTGCTGTTAGCCACGCTTGCTCAACAGTGTATGCTCCAGAAGTTTGTGAACATAATCCGATCCCTATATTCCCGTACTTCGGGGCATGTGAGAGTGTATGGTGAACTCTCTCCACAAAAAGTGTTCGACGACGACGTCCACCCCCTCCATTCTTGTTCATCTTTGTCGATGATGAAATAATGAGGCGAATGCTAGATTTTCAAAATCCCAGCGTTCAAATTCTGGCTGATGAGTGCCTTGTCGATCTGGAGTGCGCAGACGACATCGCCCTCATCTAATCGCCTCGTTGCTGATACGCTGACTCTTTGTCGAGAAATAATGAGGCGAATGCTAGATTTTCAAAATCCCAGCGTTCAAATTCTGGCTGATGAGTGCCTTGTCGATCTGGAGTGAGTGCACGACATCGCCCTCATCTAATCGCCTCGTTGCTGATACGCTGACGCCATCCGAAACCAACCACGCTTCTGAGGCATTGGTGGTCGAAAACCTGAAGACGCCTCACATCATCTACCCGAAGAGGCCATGTCTCACCCACACAACAACACAGCCCTTACTGTAGCCTGGTACACACGACACTTAAGATCCAGTGAGACGCCACAAGTCACGCAAATTAGCAAACGTGATTCGAGCCTTTGAGATTCTTGCACTGACTTCATCAGACACACTTCCGTCAGAGCTAATACAACTACCAAGGTATGTAAAGTTTTTCACAATCTCCAGTGGTTCTCCTTGAACTGTAAGGGACATGTTCACAGATGGCACGTTCTGAAGCAGGACTTTGCACTTTGAAGGTGCAAGGCGCATGCCAAATGATGATATGATGGCGGTCAGTTTATTCAACAGGGTTTGTGCTCACCATACACCATCACCCGCCCAGAAGTATGTGAATATAGAGATCGGATTATGTTTACAAACTTCTGGGGCATACCCTGTTGAGCAAGTGTAGGTAACAGAACTGATCGATCAACAGAATCGAACGCACCCTTGAAGTCAAGGAATACCAGGATTGTGGGTCGTCTGTACATGTGGCGTTGCTCTAACACCTGACGGAGTGTGAAGATGTGGTCAACGCATCCTCTACCCGGTCGAAATCCCGCTTGATTCTCACGAGTCAAGACTTCGCGTGCCGCCATAAGACGACGAAGAATCAATGACGCCAGAAGCCTTGTCACAACAGGCGTCAAGCTAACGCCTCTGTGGTTGCTACATTCACTGCGAGTACCCTTTTTGAAAAGGGGTACCACTATCGATTCACCCCAGTTGTCTGGGACGGTCTCCTTCTCCCAGATAAACCCAAATAGGCTAGACAGGCACTGACTGAGGAATCCACCGCCATCCTTGAAGAGAGCAGGTGGAAGGTCGTCAGGACCAGCAGCGCGATGGCGCTTGAGTAGAGAAATGCATTCGGACACTTCTGAGACTGAAGGCGGCTCCATATTTACGGTCCACCTTTCTGTTGAAGGCCGGGTTTCTGGATTGGGGTTAGCAGGTGGCCAGCTGAATTGTTGTTCGAAGTACTGTGCCCAGCGATCCAAACGTTCTGCTTTGCTGCATATCAGGGAGCCATTTTGGTCCCTGATTGTTTCACTGACAAGAGGTTTCCGAGGACCAGTCGAACGAATCAACTGGAACAATTTGCGCACGTTTCCAGCATTCTTTGCATCTTCCATTTCTTCGACCTTTCGGGTCCACCAAGCTTCTCGGTCTGCGCGGACACTCAGTTTCACCTGGCGTCGGATGATGCGCCGGATGGAGTTGTGGTGGCGACCAGGTGGGATCTGTCGCCGGGCCTCCAGAAAAGACACGGTTCTATCAGAGATCCAATGCTTGGATGAGGTTGGCTGGGTTGTACCGCAAGCAGACGCTCCTGCTTTGAGTAACGCGTTGGATATTTTTTCCCAGTGGCCGTTTATATCCGACACCGTACCGTCCGGCAGGCATTCGAGGAGCTGTTTCTGATAGTTTCGTTTGGTTTCTGGATCAACTAGCTTCTCAATGGCTAAGCGAGGTGTGCGCGATTTGCGTACACCTGAAAAGCGCAATGAAAAGCAGCAGCGTACAAGTGCATGGTCGGAGTCCACGCTGGTGTTCCAGAAGGAGCGGCAGGCGGTGATCGACCCTCGCCACCGATAACTGACGGCGATGTGGTCTATTTGGATTCGGCGCTGGTTTGATGGTGGGCACCACGTTGTCAAGCGATTTCCGCTGTTCCGGAAATTCGTACTGCAAAGGAACAGCCTGTGATCGGCACACATCTGAAGTAAGCGGTCTCCGTTGTCCGTGCGTCTAGTGTCCAAACCAAGACGACCACCCAATCGGGCCTCAGCAGCGCTTAGTCTACCTACCTGGGCGTTCATATCACCAGCAACCACAACGATATCTGAGCTTTTAGCCTGTTGTAGAAGGGCACCTAGAGCGTCATAGAAACTGTCCTTGGCAGATTCAGAGCTACAGTCAGTTGGGGCGTAAGCAGAAACAATAAACAAGGTGCGATGAACCTCACTTCCTCTAGATTCTCTCACCGATGTTGCCAAACGAACCGCACAGAGGCGACTGTTTACGGGTATCCAATCAAGCAGAGACGCTTCCGCTCGTTCGCTCAATACAATACCCACCCCAGCATATCCAGCTGCAGCGGCCTCTGCATCACCAGAGGTGCGCAGTCGGAACCTGGAAGAGAGCGAGGGGGCAGTCAGTTCGATTACAGTACTTGCGTCCTGCGTCCTTGTTTCTGACAGACAACATACATCAATACAGAGGGAATCCAGCGTACGCGCAAGAGCCACCTGTTGACCTGCTTGCTTCAGTGTGCGAACATTGAAAGTGGCTAAGTAGACAGGCTTTCGGGGTTTGAAAACAGACTTCGAAGTGTTTAGGGTTGTAACTGAACTCGGACGTGCAGAAGCTGCAGCTGAGTGTGATGCAGGGCGAGCAAAACGGTCAGTCCTAGAGCTGGGACCTGCGGATAAAGTATTCAAATTTGGGCGGGGGAGGGTGGAAGACGGAAAACGTGAAAGTGTAAGAAGGGAGGCGTCAGCAGTAGCATGTTTTCGCTTACCCGCCCTGCTGTATGCAACAAGTAAGGCGACCCGGTTGATGGCACCACGCGACGGCCGATGTGGCATGAGAGTATTGTTAGTTGTGTAGGTCATGGTTGTACGAGGGCTGGGATACTGCCGGGGCGCCCACACCTAGACAGGAGGACGATTAATTTTCTCAACCAAAGCCTTTGGCTCAAAAGCCTAACCGCAAGGTAGCGGCGTTAAGAAACTGACCATCATTATACCATCTTTCGGCATGTATCAAGCACCTTCAAAGTGCAAAGTCTTAATTTATAACTGGAGCGAGATGGATCAGTGGTAAAGCGCGAAATAACTAACCGAAAGGTCCATAGTTCGACTTCCCTTGTCTAGGCTTGAGCAGCCTGACAGTATTCCATCCATCGTGCTTCCTTCTGGCATGGCAGTTAGGCACCGAAAGGGTGCTACAGACGAAATATTTTTTCATAACGTGCAGTATCTGGACAAGTAGAATTCGAGTAGAATCACAGGAGGTTGTGGAATATTTTACGTACCTCGGGTGTTGTATTTTCTCTGACGGAAGTGTCTGATGAAGTAGATGCGTGAATTTCAAAGGCTGGAATCACGTTCGCTATTTTGCGTTAATCACTGGCGTTAATCAGTAGGTCTCATGAGTCGCGTTCACCAGGCTATAGTAACGGCTGTATTGTTTTATGGTTGCAGAAGATAGTCTCGGAGGACAGATGAAGTATCAGTATTAACCATGATGTTGCTGTTTCTGATGATGATGATGATGATGATGATGATGATGATGATGATGGTGATGATGATGACGATGATGATGGTGATGGTTCCTTGGTGCGCATCACGTTGTCAAGCGATTCCCGCTGTTCCGGAACATTGTACTGCAAAGAAACCATCTGTGATCACCACACATCTGAAGCAGGTGCTCTCCGTTGTCCATGCGTCTCCTAACCAACGCAAGACCATCACCTAATTGGGCTTTAGCAGCACTCAGTATTTGAGCGTTTATGCCAAGATCAACCAGAACTATGCCTGAGCTTTTATCCCGTGTGAAAAGAATGTCTGGTGTGCCATAAAATAAAAAGTAATCGTTCAGCTGCAACACACTTTCGGTGCCTTGCTGCCATACCATTCAAAAGATGCCAAGCGGGCTAAGATACTGCCGGGTTATCCGATCCTAGACAGAAGCAATCGATCGTCCAATACAACGTTCGTCGCAGCATACCCAGCTGCAGGGATCTGTTTATCAGATGTTTGCACCCGGGGACAAGATGGCTCATTAGTTAGAGCGCGAGTTTACTCACCAGAAGATCTGTGATTCGAACCCGACCTCTTCCTCTCGACTTCCCCTGCCTAGGCGTGGGCAGCCTGACAGTATCCCAGCTCCCGCGCTTCCTTTGGGTGGTGTGATAGCTAGGCACCGAAAAGATGTTACACCAGATCTTTTAGCCTTGGTAAAGGGTTATTTTTTATTGGGCAGTAGGTCTGACAGGGAACACCGTATAAGTGACCGACAGCCGAATGCACTCAACGGGATGGCCTAATTGGTTAAAGCGCGAATTTACTGACCGGAAGGTCCGTGGTTTGAACCCGACCACTGCCTCTCGATTTCCCCTGTCTAGGCTTGGACAAACTGGCAGTATCCCTTTCTGGTGACATGGCAGCTAGGCAGCGAAAGGGTGTTGCAGCTGAACGATCTCTGATGGATATAAAAGAAGTTCGGTTAAGGGGCTCTAACCGAAGAGGTGCTAGGGTGAATGATTTTTCCGCTTGCCCGGACCGACAGAAAAGATTTTCTGATATAGCGCGCAAGCCTTTGACTTAAAAGTCTTCCCCAAAAGGGTGGTGCATTAAGCGTGTGCTTGGATACTCTTATCGCATCCAATATACCGATGGCCAGATGCTCTTGGCTAGACCGAGAATGCCAAGATTAAGGCACATGTCCCTCACTCCTGATCTTATTACGTACTACAAATGGGTTTTTGGTTGGTGATAGGTTCTGACTATAGTTCGGCTTTACTGGTTAATTCCCGTCGATGACGGTCAACCTTTTGGCGATAGAAGTGTACGGTATTCAAGACGGACCTGTCCCACCCGTCCTTCCTCGGAGTAAGTTAACGTCTCTGGTCTCTTGTGGAAACGTCCTGCTGCCTTACTGTCAACGCAGAAACTGTGCAACTTTTTTCTAAACTGCCTTTTATTACGGTAGCTCGTAGTACGGGACTGGTTGCTGTTTGCGTGACTGATCCACTTTGGCTGTGAGAAGGTTAAAGCTCGCGGAACGAAGTTGTTACCGGTGCAGTGTGCTAAATCACAAGACACTCAAGCTAAACCACTGCAGCAAAGCAGCTTTTGGATGGCTACATACATCTCGTATTGTAGCCTGGTGCGCAGTACCCTTGAGGCCCAATAATACACGTTTTTGAAGCCACACAGATGGAGATTCGGTCCCTTGCGGATCGTGCACTAACTTAACGCAGCACAATTCCGTTGAGATGATGCAACTACCCGGATACGTGAAACTCATCAGTAAGCTGTCCTTAAATTGCTCGTAAAGGGACATGTTCAGGAACTAGTGTTTACTCATTTTGCTCTTCGCGGATTCAACGTACATGCCGAAAGGTGGTATGTGGATGTTCAGCCTGGCTAGTAAATTCCACACTTTCTGCTTGTCATCAAGTATACGATGAATGTGTGCACACTAGGTGCACACAAGGTTTTCAACTGCCACGACGATTTCCTAGTGTTCGTCCCATTTTTTCTTAAGGACGAATTTAAACAGGAATCGGGAGTGGACATCATTGTCAGACGTCATTTATCCTGGGGAAGATTGCCGAGAGGTCAGCACACAAATATACGAAACTGTTTGTGTCCACTGTTTGTGTTCCACTTTGAGAAGGTTTGGTTAAAGTGATAGGTTCGAATGTCGAGATTTTTTGTCGCTTGCAGTCGACGTGGGATACAAGCTGCTCGTGAATGAAAGATACGCAGAACTCTGTAAAGTTCGATAGATGTTCCTGCTCTCCAGGCTGTTTTGGATACCATCAGTTGGCACCCAGTTACAAATACCAGCCTCATGGGGGAAGCAGGTAGATCGTGTGGGATCCAAGTGAGTGCTTTCAGGGATTTCTGTATCTAAATAGTCACATCGCCGTTTCCTTTGTCACCGTCTGGTTCAGTGTGCCATAGTTAGGATTGGGAAAGTCTGGCTGTTTCCTAGTTACATGTAAACTACTAGATGGTAAGAATAAACGAAAAAGGCTTTGAAATAACTCAAGTCAGGCTCTCATTCCAAGAGCAGAATAAAAGGTGCACCATCCGAACCAAGCGGCTTGGTCGCGTTAAGTGCTGGAAGCTTCCAAATTACCCTCTCTAGCGATCCGTGAGGTGCGCACCGCTGATGATTTCCAACAAGAATGAAGCAGCTTTACTATGCTTGCAAGCTTTTCAGCATGGATTACACTTGCGGCATGAAGTCTGTGTTAAGATTTCAGAATCCCCCCACATTTAAACCACCGTATTATATTTTGCTTCACGATTCTGACTGTGGTTACCACTGTTTTTATCTGGAAACTTATCGGAATATTGGTAGCAGATGGCTAATGGCTCCTTCACCGGGTTTGGCAATTAGTCTGCAGGCGTTTCGTCACCAGTCGAGGGTACGTCATCAGCGTTCGGCCCGCACACTACCTGATAAACTGCTAGTTGTTTGCGTTCTGTACATGATGGATTCTCTATCCACTTACCCGATCGATATACGTGTTGAAGCAATTTGACTTGCCAGCAATTTTAAGGCTGAATTTGGTCCACAGCTCCTTTTGCATTGTCGCTCATTCAGGATAAAATCGATTTCGCTACCGTGGTTCTCCTCTAATGTTCGTAAAAATTTCTGACACGTGAACTTAGCAGCTATTTTCCCTACTTTTTTAGCTATGAAACGGAATGAAATCGGCGTTCAGTTGACTGATGAAGATTTAGAAACTATCAGAAGATGCAGGAAGCTTTCATTTTGGCAGGGAAGCGTGCCTCTCACAGTGGCCTGCGTATGCGCTTTGAGAGTAACACAGCATTTTGGCTTTCTCAACACACTGCGTACACCAGCTTATATTCTGGCCGTGGTCTTCGGCTACATAGGCGGGAAGGTGTTCTATGTTGGAAAATGCAAACAAATGTTTCTGGCGCTTCGAGACAGTAGAATAAAGGATCAGTTGTTGAATGCGGATACATTTGGTATGGAATCCGATCGTACGCCTCCTCTGATTGTTACCACACCAGTGACACCTGAGAATCGAGATTACAAACCACCAACAACTTATGCGGAACGTCGAGAGTACTACCGAATGCACCCGAATGATGCGCGTCCTTATATTCCTGGGGTTCCTGAACAGACGCCCTCAGCAGAACCGGAACCGAAGCTGGAGCAACGGCATCCATCCTTTTTCACTGAGGATCGCCCCTCCGGATCTTATCAGTTCGATGATATTTATGCACCTCGAGATTAGCGTCTATTGTTTTGTAGTGTCATGTTTTTTATTTAGAAAAAATTTAGTGAGCGGACAGGAGAAATCAGGTTGCAACGACTTCGCCGGCAGCAGTCAACGGTTCGTCGAATTTTTCGCGCCTGTACATGACATGACGGCGTACAAAAAGTTATACTTATTGTGTATGAAGGATGCTGTTTTGCCTTCCGCCGTGGTGTTTATTAAACGGATACACAGCCAAATTGAATTGTTTCCGCTCGACGCGCATGATCATTATGCGCTTGTCGATTTTGTAGACCGTTTTCTCATTATGGTGGGAAGACCAGAAAAGGTTCGATTCTTGACTGAATTTTTATCATTTGGTGTTAGTCCCGTTCGAATGTGTATCCTTCATCTGGCGTATTGCATAACGACTTTAATGGAGTCCTCATCTTCGGTTGGACGATGCTTCTCACTCAGTATGACTGGGCTTTTACCAACTGCTGTCGTATTTTATATCCGCGCCAGACGCGCAACTGACGCGTTAGCTGTAATTCAATCTCTGTTGGCTGCGTGGAAACCTTATATTGTCAAGTTTATGCTGTCTTGTGATAAGAACTTCCGTGGACAGAGCCCACGTTTCGTGCAATCGGTGGTACACGCGGAAAGGAGGTCTGGTTGTTCAACCTTATTCTCCTAGCGAAAGTGATAGACATTCTGGAGCTATTAAGTCGATTAAGGAACCTATCTAAATCGCGCACTTCATCGACATATCGTCAATATGTGTGACACTGGACGGATTCTGTTGTGCCCGCCATCGTTTCTCGGTTCCCAAGTTTAACTGTACTGATACCAGCAACTAGTGAACATATTGGTGACCCCATGGATACTCCTTGCCTATTCACGACGGGTTATCTGAGTATTATTTGTGGACCAAGTTCAATCTTTCTTACGATATCAGCGGATTAAATGTTTGATTCGGACTGTAGTGACCTACTTGCCGCTTAGTGGGTGTGACGCAGTGATGGTTACTGCCAACGTATCGAAAGTTCTGCATTTTGAATTTCAAACAATCCAGGCAAGCGCAGTACATTCGAATGGCTGGTTTCAGACTGTCGAACCTACCTCATGTTTTTCCTGAACTACACCAATTTGGTTCTAACGGGAGACGGCTTAATATTACTGAACATCTAGTTTGTGATGTCTCTCTTCAGGTGAATTTACTGCTAGAGGCCACCGCATATCTCTCGCGGCTGTATATTGGTCAGAGGAACATACCGGCGTTCATTTGGACCCCCTGTTGAAACCAAATTAGTGTATTTGCGAATGGCGCCTGAATTGGGTTCGAATCGAACATAAGTTTACCACAAACTCTGAAACTGCGCTCACCTGATTAAACCTGAGATTGGCGAAAGCGGGCATAGGCTGTCAGAGACCAAACTCGAGTGGTTCGGTCTGACTGGTCATCTACCTCATTCAGAGAAAGGCTGTGTGGAAGAGCGAAATCTTCGAGTCTATCGGATGCCGAGTAGCTTGTCAAACTATTCGTATATGCTTCAATTCGTTCATTCCATAGGACAGATTAACGTGAGTCCAAGAACTGTACACACACGGAGAGACTGGATTCCGCACGAATAAACGACATTAGAATTTTGTGATGGCTTGTGTCTCTGTGACCCGTTGAGCCATACTGGTGAGTGTCCGTGCGACACTTAGTCTGATACGTGATTGGCCAATGGTTATAGGCCTGAGCAACGCAGTCTACTTGTCCTCCAGAACATGCGTGATCTGTTCTTTAAGAGTGCTAGTGTGCTCGTATTTCCCACCAAACACCCCTGCTTTGAGACCAGCTTTCCGAGCCGAGAACTATGACCGGGATCATAATCGTCTTGTTACTTACGTCTGGTTGCCCTGACAAGTACCCCAGCTTACGTCACACTGGTCGTTGATATGTGATGTGCATCATAAACAGGGTTTCAGATGTAAGCACAGTCGTTGGGCTAACTGCTCCATTACCCCACTCGCTTCCAGCTGTGCTTTTCTTTTTA